ATGCTCCTGCGGTTTTTCAAACCCTGGTCAACGACGTACTTAGGGACATGCTTAACAAATTCGTCTTTGTCTATCTGGATGACATACTCATTTTCTCGAGCTCGCTGCAGGAGCATGTTACCCATGTTAGCAAAGTCCTCAGACGCCTACTGGACAACCACCTGTACGTCAAGCCGGAGAAATGCGAGTTCCACGTGACCCGGGTCCAGTTCTTGGGGTTCATCGTCAAGCCCGGTCTAATCCGTATGGACCCAAAAAAGGTGCGTGCAGTCATGGATTGGCCTACCCCCTCATCAGTAAAAGAGGTCCAACGCTTCCTCAGGTTCGCTAATTTCTACCGCAAGTTTATCCGGAACTTCAGCTCTGTTGCTGCCCCGCTATCTGCTCTCACCAAGGGCACCTCCGCCGGCTTTCGCTGGAACCAGGACGCTGAGTCTGCCTTCTGCGAGCTCAAGTCCCGCTTCTCCTCTGCCCCTATTCTGGCTCTCCCGGATCCGGAGATTCCCTTTGTTGTAGAGGTGGATGCCTCTGAAGTAGGAGTCGGAGCAGTGCTGTCTCAAAGGGGTAAGGACGGCAAGCTGCATCCCTGCACATTCTTTTCCCACCGTCTTACCCCGACAGAGAGAAATTACCATGTGGGTGATCGAGAACTTCTGGCTGTTAAGTCAGCGCTGGAGGAGTGGAGGCATTGGCTCGAGGGCGCGAAACACCCGTTCCAGGTACTCACGGACCACAAAAATCTCGAGTACATCCAACAAGCCAAGCGGCTCAATCCCCGACAGGCGCGTTGGTCACTGTTCTTCAACAGATTTCACTTTGTCCTGTCTTACCGCCCTGGTTCCAAGAACCTTAAGCCTGATTCACTGTCCCGAGTCTACGGTAGCATGTCTCGAGAGGACAAGGTCCTCCCTATCATTCCCAGCTCGAAAATTGTAGCTCCGGTCCAGTGGCAACTTGAGGACACAGTGAGACAAGCCCAAGCCAGAGAACCCGACCCAGGAAGCGGCCCGACCAACCGCCTGTATGTACCCAAGGCTGTTCGATCCCCGGTTCTCCAGTGGGGGCACTCCTCCCGTTTTTCTTGTCATCCGGGTCCCTCACGTACTCTCGAGTTCCTCCAGAGGCGATTTTGGTGGCCTACCATCAAGGAGGATGTCATCACCTATGTCAGGGCCTGTCCTGTGTGTAATCAGAGCAAAACCACGCACCAATCTCCCCAGGGTCTCCTGCAGCCTCTTCCCATCCCTCATAGGCCCTGGTCCCACCTGTCCATGGACTTCATCACTGGGCTTCCACCGTCCCAAGGTAACACCTGCATCATGGTCATTGTTGACCGATTTTCCAAGGCCGTCAAGTTCATCCCCTTGCCCAAACTACCCACAGCCAAAGAAACGGCGGAGCTTATCATTACTCATGTTTTCCGCACCTTTGGCATACCACAGGACATCGTCTCCGATCGGGGACCCCAATTTTCCTCGCGTTTCTGGCAGGCCTTCTGTGAGTCTCTGGGGGCCTCCGTGAGCCTAACCTCCGGGTTCCATCCTGAGTCCAACGGTCAGACGGAGAGGATCAACCAGGATCTCGAGACCACCCTGAGGTGTATGGCTGCTAACAATCCGTCCTCCTGGTCCACTTTCATCATGTGGGCGGAATACGTGCACAACACTCTCCGCTCCTCTGCCACAGGCATGTCCCCGTTCGAGTGCCAGTTTGGGTATGCTCCTCCACTATTCCCGGAGCAAGAAGTGGAGACAGCTGTTCCCTCCACCCAACAGTTCGTCAAGCGCTGCCGCCAAACCTGGAGAAAAGCCAGACTTAAGCTCCTGAGGATCTCGCAGCAGTACCAACGGCAGGCTAACCGACGACGGAGACCAGCCCCTATGCTGCGCCCCGGTCAACGAGTCTGGCTCTCCACCAAGAACCTTCCCTTGCGGGTGGAGTCCCGCAAGTTGGCCCAGAAGTTCATCGGCCCCTTCAGGATTGCTAGGAAAGTTAATCCTGTTACTTATAAGTTATTTCTCCCTAGGTCACTAAGGATTAACCCCACATTCCATGTGTCTTTGCTAAAACCTGTTTTGTCTTCTCCCTTCTCTGTGCCAGGTAAACCACCCCCTCCGCGCATCATCGATGGCCAGCCTACCTACACAGTCCACCGAATCCTGGATGTCCTGTCAGAGTTTTGGTCCTTTTTTTGTGTTTTTGTTGTGTTACGTTTTCCCCACTAGATGTCGCTCAGCCTTAGTTCTTTGTTGTAATTGGATTCATTGCTTTCACCTGTGTCTTGTTCCCGTTTGGTGTATTTAAACCGTCCCTTTTGCCTTTGTTCCCCGCTTGGTTATTGTTATTTCCTAAGCCCCTGTCATCGTTAGTTGTGTCTCTCGAGTTATATTTCCTCTGTGTTTTTTCCTAGCGCCCTTGCCTTGTTTTTTTTGTCTTTTTTGCTCCTTTTTTTCTCTATTTTAGTTTTGGCTTTTTTTTCGGTTTTCCTGCCCGTCTTTGTTTTTTGTTATTCATTGCCTTCTCGTTTTCCCGTTTTTTTTCCCGTGAGTCATTTCCTTGTACCTTTTTACTTAATAAATAGATTTTTGTGCACTACTTCAGCGTTTGCTTCGTGGGTTCACCGCCTCCCTGTGGCTCAACGGTATAACATCCATTTCTCACGCTGAAGACCGGGGTTCGATTCCCGGTCGTGACAGTCAGAGATTTTGATGATTGAGATCGGTACAGAAGGAAGACTGCATGCAGCTTTAGCTGCAGCATTAAACATAGCATTACCTCAAGCTTCATCAGTGTCAGTGGAGCAATGAGCCTTAATCTTAACCAAAGCCAAATATGTTGGACATTCACACACTGACAAGAGATCAGACACAAACGAAGCATGTTTAATGGGCATGCCTGCAGCTGTCAAAAAAGCACATCGATGCCAAATACTTTCAGAATCATGTACATCAAAGGCATATCCTGAATCCATGTAAATCATAGCAGTACAACCGGTAGCTAGGATGCAGGCATTAGTCAAAGCCACAAGTTCAGCGACTTGGGCTGAGAGATGATCAGGGAGATGACCCTGAACTATCACTGCGTGTGATGAGCAAATAGCCCAACTAGCACGTCTGCATGGTTCAGGACTTGGGCTGAACCATCTGTAAACAAAGTCATGTCTGGATTTTCCAGAGGAATCTCAAACACACAAAGGCGGTGAGTGTGAAAGCATCACACAGTCATGATCACTCAACACACTCTCATCTTTTGTACCAGACATTACAGTCATCATTAACGATGAGGGGTTAGTGATCTTGGCCCTTTGAAGGGTGCTGTGAGAGCATCGAGCCAATTGCCCCACCTCTGGGCAGTCACTGTGAGCATGAGCTGAGAACAACAGAGAAAGAACAGCATGTGGACAGCATACAGTCAGATGTTGTGTGTGTAGTAACAGCTAAATAAGTGGTTTAAAAACCACTAGCATTAACATCCAACTTAACTGAGTAGTACTGAACTGGACGCAATTGACCACCACGATCCTTCATTAGGCATGCAGGCATGAACCTGTCGTACTCATGCATACACAGAATGAAAGGCAGCTTGGGTTGCACAAAACCTAAAGCAGGAGCAGAGGTGAGAGCAACTTTATGTTCTGGAAATACAGTTTTGACCGACTCAGAAAACTGAATACTGTCTGTCTCTTTAGGAGATCCCTTTAACAAATCATATCATGGCTGCGCTATTCAGGCATAATCCTCAAATCGTGGACGACAGTAATTGCACATACCACAAAAATGAGTGAACCCATTTGACTGTTGACGGTGTGGTGAGTGTACGCACGGCTGTAGTACAATCTCTGTCCAGCTGTTACTGATTGTCCTAGGAATTGAACTCAAGCTGAGCTTTAGCAATATTAGCTTTATGACCATGTGCACTAAGATGTATGAGCAATGCCAGTAACTGTATGTTATGCACTTGGAAAATGACAGCAAGCAGTATATATACAATTTTTTTTTTCAAAAAAATTATGTTTCATTAATTCATTATTAATTGGCAAATTTGTCAAAAGAATCAACACATATTGATTAACATCCAATTCAGCCAAAGAGGTTTTATTATTATTATTATTATTATTATTATTATTATTATTATTATGATTATTATTATTATTATTATTATAAAATATTCCACTGTGTTGCACTGATGTATTTTAATGTATCGTACAGGATCTTGCGATAACAGTATCTTGTGCCTGCACCAAACTACAGGCTCATGAGACCAGTTCTGAAGCAGATTTGCTCCTCCTGGCAATCACAAAACGTGTCCCAATTTTAGGCTGGGCTTATCTTTCAAGATTATCTTAAGTTTAAGTTTATTTTTTTGCACAAGAGTAAAATAGATACAATTAAAAAAAACAAAAAACAATCCATATACTGTGCAGGGAGAGGCAGAAAACCCAAGGGCTTATTTAGAGCCTCCACCTAAACAATGAAGAAAACTAAAACAAAAACTCATGAAATTAAAAGAAAAAACTAAATTACAATAACAAATATATAAATATAAATGACTACAAATTAATTACAACATATGCACAAAAAACCCCAGAAAGGATATACTCCAAAAACAAACCATATATGGTACATAAAAGACAAGATACATTATTGCAAAGCAGCATTAAAATGATCCTTTATACATCTTTTATAACATATTAAAGAGGAACATTTTTTTTGCTAAATGGGATAAATCATTCCATAATTTAATACCCCTAAATCTTATCAAGTATTGACCTCTACAAGTGAGAACTTTAGGAAGATGAAAATTAGAAAATTGATGAGTTAAATAACAGTGAACCTGTGAATTTACTTTAAAATACATTCTAAATTGCTCTGGAATGTTACCCTCACCTGAATATGTCTTATACATGAAATCACATATTTGAAAAGTATTAATATCATAAATGGTAAGAATCTGAAGTTTATGAAATAAAGAAGCAGATGAAGTATATGTGTTTGATAGAGTTGCAATCCTGACAAAACGCTTCTGAAGGACAAAAATTTTTTGAAGAGTAGTAGGAAAAGTACTCGCCCAAACTATATTACAATATGAAAGATACGGATAAATTAAACTATAGTAAAAATAAAAATAATAAAACTTGATTTTTTTATATTTAAAGATAATTTGTTTAAATTAAACCAATTAGCATAAGCAATTAGACCATCATTTGCATTCTTAATCAATGAATTAAAATTTGGGTGAGAGAGAACTAAGGTTGTGTCGTTAGCAAACATTACTGTAGTTAAGAATATTTGAAACATTCAGCAGGTCATTTATATAAATAAGAAATAGTAATAGTAACCCCTGAGGAACCCCACAGAGTAGACTTGCATTGCTCAAATAGCAACCCTTAAAACAAACACTGTCTTCTATTAAAATTGTAATTCTTCAACCATTTATATGTAAAATCATGAAAACCATATTTATACAACTTTTCCAATAAAATGTAATGATTAATGGTATCAAAAGCTTTTAACAGGTCTAAAAAAATACTACAAGCAAATTCTTGATTTTCAAGTGCAAGGGTAACCTTGTCAATCAGGTGAAGCAAAGCCATTTAAGTACAGTGGTTTTTTCGGAATCCATATTGATGTTTGTAAAGAATAAAATTTGAGTCTAAGTGAAAAAGAATCCGTTTATATACTATTTTTTCTAGAATTTTTGAGAAACATGGCAAAATAGATATAGGTCTATAGTTATTAAAACATTGCAGATCATCTGCTTTAAACAGAGGAATAACTTTAGCTATTTTTAAATCCTCTGGTACAATGCCTGTTTTCAATGAAAGAGAAAAAATGTGAACAAGTGGCTGCAATATTGAACATTTCACCTGTTTGACAAGAAATACAGAAATATTATCATGACCAGCTGAAGATAATTTTAATTCATCAATAATTTCACTTATTTCCTGAATTTCAGGTGGCTTAAAAATAGAGATAATAGGAAAGTTTCCTGATATATAATCCAGGGGTACACCATTACCAGTAGGAATATTATTAGCTAATTTATGAAAAATTCATTAAATTTTTGAGCTATGTCAAATGGATCATTAAAAGAATTGTCGCCATCCACAAAGACTGAAGGTAGCTCTGAATTAGTCTTTTCTCTTTGCAGCAACTGATTTATTACTTTCCATGTGGATTTAATCATTTAATTATTACTAATCATTACTAATTTAATCATTTGAACATTTCTTAAATTTTTCACCAAAGTATTGCTTTTTTGCAGATCTAATAGAATGATTATATTTATTTCTGTAAGATTTATAAACGCCATAGGTGAGAGGAGTGGGATTTAAAACATATTTTCTATAGAGTTTGTTCTTTGTCCTCAACATTTTCCGTAAACTAGCTGTAAACCAAGACTTATTAAAGTCCTGACTGAATTTCTTCGCAGAACTACTGACTGGAAAGCATTTATTAAAACTAGAACTAATAACAGTCATAAATTGTTGATATGCTCTGTCAGCATCATATTCCTTATACAGATCATCCCAAGAAGTACTAGAAATCAAATCTTTAAATTTAGAAATATTTAACTTGCTCATAATTCTTCCAAATCAGGTGAGGCCAAAATATTATCATCGATATACTGGACAAGGATAGATTCCTTAACCGGACCCTCTGGCTCTGACAGATGATGCCTTAATACCTGATGATACAAAGTAGGGCTGTTATGGAGATCCTGTGGGAATCATGTCCACTGACACTAATCATCATCAAAGAAGAAAGTTAATCATGGCTGGCTGGCTGTCTGGATGTAAAGGAACAGACCAAAACCCATTAGCCATATCAATAACTGAAAACACCGTATATGAGTTCAGGATGCCAACAAAAATGGTGCTTGGGTCAGTTACTCAAGGTGAAATACAATCAATATATGTATTAGTGACACAATAATCAACTCAGTTGCCAGAGGGGTTTTGGTGCACTTCCTGCTGTCTCCTTCTGTGGCCCACCTTTCCTCATCAGCCAAAGAGGAGAAGAGGAGGAACTGCACTCTTTAACCAGAATGCCTTGGTTGATCAAATCAAATTATAGGCCGAATTCCCTCAATAGCTTCCCATGAAATAGGATAATATTTAGTTACCGCTGGGCGTGTACCTGTAAGATGTACCAGTTCTATGTCTAGCAACCCGCAGTCATTCTTATGCTTAACCAAATAGGATGATTGGCAGTCATGGGGTCTGACACCTGAACTGCAAGAACATAGAGTTTAGGTTTAACTGACTCAAAATCCAACTGCATGTGTAATTGTGAAATAACATCAATGCCTAAAATAGGAGAGCTGCTAATCCGTGCTGCCATAAGAGCAGACGGCAAGTGACTTACGCCCAAAACACAATTGAACGGGCTCAGTTCTGTAAGTGTTAGAATTTTCCCCAGTCACACCAGAAATGTCAGTGCTAGTTCTAGTTAGACAAAGACCAAAAATCTCTAGGCATCTCTATTGGAATTATTGATACTTGTGCACCAGTGTCAATCAAAAGACTGCATTCATGATCATTCACGGTGATTATCACATACAATCTGTTATCCTATTCATGCATAATTGGCTGCAAATGGGCTCTCACAGTGGACATATCTAAAAAATGTGCAGCAGAAGGAGGGGGAAGTGGAGGCAAATCATCTGAGCTTTGGGAGGCATGTTGTACCAGCT